TCCACAAGAGTACCAGGCACCTCGGCGTGAAAGTAGTCAAGCACGAGAAGCACCTGGGAGTGACAGCAACAGCATGCAGACGGAGGAGAGTGGCCGCCATCGGCAAGCCGGCGCCCAAGTTTGCAGCGAGAAAGGCACGGGTGACAGCCGTGCGCAGAGCAGGAGGAGCGGCACACAAGCTGATTCGACAAGCCAAAGTGCCAGCCCTCCTATACGGATCCTCAGTCGTCGGCATGGCAGACTCCAAGCTCACCGAGCTCAGGAGGAACGTGGCGGCGGCGATGGAGGGCAACAACAAGGGAAGGTCCACGGCACTCACGCTGCTCAGCGACAGGACCGACCCAGGCATCCTCGCCAACAGTGGCCCCATCATCGCCTGGGCCACGGCGTGGCAGGAAGCGCTCGACGACGACCAGTTGGCCGCGCGGCTGCAGAGCGCGTGGCGCACCTGGGTGATGAAGATATGCAAGTGCAAGGCCCCCTGGCTCACAGTTCGGGGGCCAGCGGGGGCGTTCGTGGCGACGGTCAGGCGCCTCGGCTGGATGACGCAGGCCTCGCACACAGTGACCATCGACGGGAACGTGCTCGACCTCCGCTACACCTTGCTGCAGGAGATCCAGCACCACGTCGTGCGCACCACGGAGAAGCAGCTGCAGGACGAGTGGGTGAGCCAGCGCGGCCGCCAGTACGGCATCACCTCCATCTTCCTGGCACCAGTGCAGGCACTACTACGGCGGCCCCTCCAGGGCCGATGGACGCAGGCCCACCGCACTCGAGTGAGGGGCCTGTTCTGCGGAGGGACGTGGCCGCAGGCGCGGCTGCACGCATCAGGAGTTGCCACCGACAACACATGCAGAGCGTGCGGGCTGGCACCAGGCACTGACAGGCACCGCACCTTCGCGCGCCCAGTGCGCCAGCCACACCGCGACGTTGTCGGAGGCCACCATATTCAGCAGCGAGGAGCCAACCCCTGGCCAGGCCCAGGAGCCGATGCTCTTTGGGGACGCGGCATCACGGCCGACCCCGCCGACGAGCTTAGGCTCTGGGAGATAGCCTCGTCCGACGACTGGCTCACCGAGGGCAACTGGGACGGCTTCGCGACAGGGGACATCTACGTGGACGGCTCGTTGCAGTTCGGCGACTACGCACCACTGCGACGAGGAGGATGGAGCTTCACCAAGCTCAAGGACAACGACGAGTACGACATGGACTACGTGTGCTACGGGCCCCTCCCTGGCGCACAGTGGGTCCAGAGCATCCTGCGGGCGGAGCTCTACGCGCTGCTGCAGGCGCTGCGTGTGGGTACCCCGCCCATGCGCATCTTCACCGACTGCCAGAACGTCGTCGACGGCGTGATGGCAGGACCAGCGTGGCTCGACAAGAGGAGCCGCCCGCACCTCGACCTCTGGGAGTGCATCTCCCAGGCCATCGCAGAGCTCGGAGGCCTGGGCCCGAGCACCGTGCAGGTGCTGAAAGTGAAAGCCCACGCGACGCGCACCGAGCGAGCAGCTATCGGGCGCGCGCAGTGGGAGGGCAACAAGATAGCGAATCAGCATGCCAAGCAGGGAGCGCTGTATCATACCCACCCTGTCTGGTGTAGAGAGGCTTACATTCAGAAGTATCGACTGGTTCGGGACATCTTGGAATCCGGAGCCTACGTAGGAGTCCTGGGCCGTGACATTGTCGACGCTGAGCAGGGCTCGAGTCTCACGGACTCGACCCCCCCCGACCCCCCCTTGGACCCCTTGGACCTTCCTGGGAACCTGGGGGCGGTCGTGGGCGAGGAGGGCGGGGCCCTGGTGGCCCCTGAGCTCCCTGCCCCGCCCCTGGAGGCCGACCTCCCGTCTCGGGCCGCTCTGGACTGGGGGTGCACCAGGGTCGACAGAGCCCAGAGAGCGGGGCACAAAATAGTGACCCGCAGCACGTACGTCTTTTGCCGCAGGTGTGCCAGGTACGCCCGTGACAGGTGGACGGGCCTATTCTCTCCATGTCGCCCTGGGGCCCAAAGGGTGATCGGGGGTAGGCTGAAGCGGTAGTGGAGCGGGCTACACCCCTCCACCAACCAGGCCCTATAGGGGCTCCTGGAGTCGAGGGTCTGGCTCGGGGACGGCCCGAAGCGGCCCGAGGCTCCCACGGCACGAAAGCGTAGGCGGTCGTGATCCGTTTTGGCCCGCACTCATCCGCACTCCTCCTCCTCCTCCTCCTCCTCCTCCTCCTCTTCGTCCTCCTCCTCCTCCTCCTCCTCCTCCTCCTCCTCCTCCTCCTCCTCCTCCTCCTCCTCCTCTTCGTCTCGGGAGCGGACAGAACCCCCACCCCGACACGTCGATTAGTGAATTGTCCGTGTTCGGTTCTCGGGAGGGCGCCGCGGCCGTCATTTTCCAGGCTTGCGCCCGCCAGGTTTGGGCCCGAGGTTTTTTTCACTATACCACGTTTTGCTAAAAGGGGTTCTGTCCATCCCCGATCGTCCCCCCCCTCCCATCAAGCAGCGCCCCGCGCCTTCGATCTGTGCACTCGGGGGTGCCCGAGGTTAGGATGTTCCAACATGCTTTAGCCGTAGAATCGCCAGACAGAACTTCGAGCACCAAAAGAAAGTGCCGAAACTTGAGGGTTCTCACGTGTCGGGCCCTGGGAGGCGACACTCGTTCGACACCGGTTCGATGTGTTTTTTTTCCTGGGTGCTCGGAATTTATTTCTGGGATGTGGTCGTTGAGTGCGATGGGGGCAACGTACAGTCGGGGCCCCGAGGAAGGAACCATTTTCGTTGGGGAGGGGCTCGGTGTTCCTTAGTTGCTTTACAGTGCTCCTTGGGTTTTCCTGAGGTTTTCCATGGAACATCGGAGTTGAACTTATGGGAAAAAGGGGCCCCGTTCCTTATTTAGGGTTCCTTAGGTCAACGCCCCGACTGTAAGCCCGAGGCCGTGCAGGCCGCCTGGGGCGAGCCCGCCCGCACGCCCGCGGCGAGCTCGCGGTGCCCACGCGGGCCTACCGGCGGCGCGCGCGGCGATGGGCGGGCCGCCGTGGAGGATCGGCGGCGAAATCCGAGCCCTACCCTCGAGCCAGGCGTGTCCCTCAAGAACTTGTCGGGGCACGATGGCTCGATTCTGCTTGGCCATCCTCTCTGGCGTCTTGCGGCTATATGTCTGATTGGCTCGTCCGAGGCTCGCCTGCAGGAGGACATGCCCGGCCTAACCCCTAATGGAGGATGACGATTAATAAATGACCGGGGGTCGTGTTCACGCGGCGGCGCCCGGGATGACGATTAGAAAACACCGGCCGCGGGCTGGAAAACTATGTTCTTAATCGTTCCCCTCCAGTCAGAAAACTGTGCAGAAATAGCAGGCAACTATTTTTTAATCGTTCTCTCCCATTTTTTTATTTAATCGCTTCGCTCATGCCGCCGGCCCTGGAGCCCTCTTTAGGGCCTCTTGGGGGCCTCTTGGGGACCTCTTGGGAGTCTCTTGGGGCTCCTTGGCGGCGTTTTGGAGGCCCCCAGGGCCTCTTGGGGGGCTCTTGGGGGTAGTCGATTGCGGCTCCCCCCTCGGAGGCCACGATCCTCGTGATCGTCATCCCGCATTACCCTCGCCGATCGGCGATTCGGATGCACCGCCGTCGCGTGGCCGCGGGAGGGCGCCGCCCCTCCTGCCCCGCCCCGGGGCGGCCGCGGCCCGGGGCGCCCGAGGAGCCTCCGGGTGTTGGCGCGGCGGCGCAGCGCGAGCCCGGCCCTCGCCGAGCGGCGGTGCGGGCGGCTCGACGGGCGGCGGGGGAGGAGGAGGAGGAGGAGGAGGAGGAGGAGGAGGAGGAGGAGGAGGGAGGAGTAGGAGGAGGAGGGAGGAGGAGGGCGACGAGGGAGGAGGGAGGGAGGGGGGAGGAGAGGGGGGAGGGAGGGATGGAAGGAGGGAGGGAATGAGGGAGGGTGTGAGGAGGAGGAGGCGGAGGCGGAGGCGGCGGAGGAGGAGGAGGAGGAGGAGGAGGAGGAGGAGGAGGGGGAGGAGGATGAGGCGGAGGGGGAGGAGGAGGAGGAGGAGGAGGAGGAGGAGGAGGAGGAGAAGGAGGAGGAGGTCCGTCGAGCACGTGGCAGCCCCCGCCGCCCATCGATTCGAGAGAATCGTGGGAGACTGGAACCTATACATTGCCAGTGGCGGCGTGTTTGTTCCATCCCACGACTTTTTGAGGGCCGGGGGCGACGTACTCTTCCTTCGCTTTCCAAGGGGAACAACGAAACATGTGCATGCCAGGATGTCGTATACACCAGGATCCGCGTTCCTGTGCGAATTTCAGCACAGGGTCGGGAAAAGCGTCGGTGTATAGAGTTCGTTTCCCTAAATCGATCGATGGTTGATGGGGGTAGGGTTCGGGCCGTGGATCGACTGAAGAGTGGCCCTTCGCCAGAGCGGCACCTGATGCGGGCCCACTGGGGCTGTCCCGAGCGCCGAACGCGGAGGAGCCGTTCGGAGCCACGTCCTCGACAGTCCATCTTGACAGTGCATTGGCGTGCGCTGGTACTTGGTAATTACTCGACGAGAGAGCGCCGATTCAGCGTCGATGTCGTGCCGATTTGCGTCGATTATCGCCGATTTGCAAGAGCCGACGCGTAAGATTGACCCTTCGCCGGAGTGACCTTTGGTGCGCGCCCACTGGGGTCCCCCCCCGATCGCCGAACGCGATGGCGTCTTGCGCGTTTGGTCCCCCCGCGGCCTTCAAAAAGCCGAGCACCCAAGGTCACTCTTGCCCAGGGTCACTCCTGCGTGTTGTCGCGTGGATCCAGGTCTCCCAGGTGGGGTTCGAGTAGATGGGGTCGGAGGATCGCGCCGCATCGCCGATGCATCGCTGATGCCGCTCGATGTGGAGCTCGATATCCTCCACGCCGACGGAGCCGAACCTCTTTGACGTCGCCGATGCCACCGCCGATGCATCAGCGATGTGTCGCTAAGGCATCAGCGCTGCGGCGCGATCCTTCGACCCCATCTGCGTGGACCCCATCCGGGAGGTCTCCGGTGGAGGAGCCGGCCCGCGCACCCGCTGCGGGCCACACCCAGCTGCGCGTGGACTCCGCGGCGGGGGCTGGCCTGTCGCTGGCGTGGAGCCCGAGGAGTCGCCACGAGGCAAGTCCAGGCATGCCACGTCTTGAGGGAAGATCGGGGCGCAGGTTTTATCAGAGCTGCATCCAAACCATAGTTAGGATCATTGTAGGGTCGACGGCGAGCACTACCACGATCCCAGTGCCGCTGGATCCGGCACACAGCAGGATTCTGCTAGAAGTTGGACCGAACCCTCGTAGGATTCTTTTGGAGCTGGATCGAGCCCACGTAGCATGCTTCGATGAGAGCTGGATCGAGCCACCCCCCCCCGTTCGCCCCCTTCGGTTTCCAGGGAGTGGGGGTCTCCCCCCCGGTTCCAGGGGAGAGGGGGATTTTTGTCCAGTCGATCGACGGAAGATCGCGCTCCCTCAAGTCAAGACATCGCATGTCTGTGAAGGAGTCCTGAGGGAGATAGGGGCCCTTTCCTCGGTTCACGTCTCAGGACAAAAAAAATCTCCCAGGAACGGCCCTGGGATCCAGGACCCGTTTCCCTCAGGACCCGCTTCCTTCACGCCACGAGGAAAGGGTACCGGGTGGTCGAGGTCGACGCCTGGCCGGGGCAGCCAGGGCTGCGCGTCGGGGACCTCATCCGCGCCATCGGGGACGCCCGGCTGGACGACGCGGGGGAGGAGCAGGAGGTGGAGAGGCGTTTCGGCGCTCGGTTCCGCAACGGTGTGGCCCTGGAGGTCGAGCGTCCGCCTGAGCCGGTGGCCGTCGTCACGGGTGCATTTCAGGCGCAGTTGCGGATTGATGATGATGATGATGATGATGATGATGATGATGATGATGATGATGATGATGATGATGATGATGATGATGATGGTGATGGTGATGGTGATGGTGATGGTGATGGTGATGGTGATGGTGATGGTGATGGTGATGATGATGATGATGATGATGATGATGTTGATGGTGTTGATGATGCTGATGATGATGATGCTGATGATGATGCGGATGATGATGATGGTGGTGGTGGTGATGATGATGGTGATGATGATGCTGCTGCTGCTGATGATGATGATGATGATGAGGATGGGCGCATTTCAGGCGCAGCTGCGGGTTGTGGCCGGGGGGCGCTGTGGTATGGAGCTGGTATGGCACCCGCCAGAGGTCGTGGGGGCGCCCAGGGGGGAAGCGAGAGAGTGCCGGCCTTCTCAGAAGGTGGCGGGGCTTCGGCAGAGGGAAACAATCAGTGGACACTCCCCCGCTCCCCAAAACTCAAAGTTGGCACGTGCGGGGAAGACTGTGGTCGAAGTGCAGCTCTCTCAGCCCCGCGCCAGCATTGATTATTGGGGGCGCGGGCATTGGCAGGCGAATGCGGCAGGAGTGTTCGCTCGTTTCTTCGGAGGCTTGTTCTTCATACTCAGCAGCTGAGCTATCTCACTTGGATCATTTGTCATGTTTCAGGTAGCTGTGTAAGAGTCCGGATCAAGCATGATGCTACTCGTGCTAGTTCTAGGCAGTTAGTACGCCGCTGCAGAAGGTCGCGGCGTTTCGTGAGAGCGTCAAGATGGCATGGGTGTCGTCCGTTACTTCCGCGTGGGCGGGCGGGCGGAGGCTGACCTCGCCCGAGCTGCCTCCCCCCATCATATCCTAACGGGCTGACTCAGGAGCAATCGGATCAGACATCCGGGATTCCAGAATCTGGGACCTCATCATAGTATATAACAGTTTCAAACCAGCACGCACGAAATGGGTACGGAAAGAATGGGTACAAAGCCGAACAGCTTTTCCTGTCTATTTTGAACAGGACTCGCTGTCCGCGCCGCCGCGGCCTGCCCAACAGCGGCCGCTTTGGTTTGGGACGATATTAGTTGTTGGGCATTGTGCCCTTTTTTTCCGTACCCATGTCGGGCGTTCAAATCAAACGGGGTATTCGGAAACCCCGACGGTACAACGAGACGCTCGTGTAGAAATCCCGCTGGACGGGATCGGGCCCGTGCCAATGCAAGGCGATCGATTTCCACCTCATCGCGAAACTTTCGGAACGCCGATGAAGGATCCACTCGCGATGGCGACGCACCACCATCATCATCTTCGTCGTTATCATCACCATCCTCATCAGCATCATCATCATGTTCATTGTCATTGTCATCATTGTCATCATGATCGTTTCCTGCCTCGCAGTGCACGCATCGCCAGGACCCTGGGCTCAATGAGCCCGTGAGGAGCCATATTGGACGCATGTTCCCCCGTCGCCGTGACAAACGTATTTTGCGGCTTGCGTGCAAGATGATTGACAATTGGCGGAGTAGGCGGAGGAGGCGGAATACAAATTATGCCTCCTGGACACGCATCTTGCCCCATCTGTCATGATCTATTGGGCGGGGTAGTTTCCAATCCCGCTTTGGGAGAACAGAGTTATGACTTGAGGTGGACCCTTTTTTCTGCGAGAGCACGAGCTACCTACGCATGTGGGTTGGAAACTCCAACATCATACCACACCGCATAAACTCTCTTCACGGCAGGGTGCGTGCCCGCTGTGTCCCCTGCCGATTTTTATCCATGCGACAGGCAGGCAAGTCCAGACAGCTCAGGCAATGGCAGTCCAGGCAACGGCGGCAACGGTTGCGCTGCGACGGTTTCATCTCGCCGAGTCTATTGCCGGCCGCCGCGCTGGATATGTAAGGCTTCGCTTGCCACGCCAGATTAACAAGGCCTCGATGCTCGTCGCGCAGTGCCTGGAATACCGCCACGCCGCTGCAAAAGTACGCGACGTTCTATGAGAGCGTCAAGGCGGTTTGTGTTTCGTCCGCAGTTTCCGCGTGAGCGGTCGGGCGGAGGCAAACCCCTGCCCTGAGCCCGCCAGAGATGCCCCCTCCCCCCCCTAGATTCCGAACGGGTTGAGTCAGGAGCGAGCGGACCAAAGATCCAGGATTCCAGAATCCAGGGTTTTATCATATTAACATTCATGTCGGGTGTTTTGACACTCCGTTGATTTCCAAACAACACGGTTTAGAATTCTCACTGGACAGGATCCGGCCTTGGCCAATGCAAGACGTTTAGAGTCCACCGTACCACGAAAACTCAGGAAAGCCAGCGAGGCATCCACCCGCGATAGCGACGCATCGCCATCATCATCGCCATCACCACCATCATCACCAGCATCGTCATCTTCGTTCCTTGTCCTCGCATTGCACGCATCGCCAGGGCCCTGGGCTGGATGGGCCAATGATAAAAGAGATTGACCGCATGTTCCCCCATCGCCGCGACAAAAATATCACGGGGTCTGCGCGCAGGGTGACTGACAACTGGCGGAGGAGGCGCAGGAGAAAGTGCTCCGCGCGGACACGCATCCAGCCTTTTCCCTTATCATTTTGGACAGAGCAATGTCAAGTCCCGTTTTGCGATAATATCGTTGTTTCGGGAGGCGGGCCCACATTACTCCGCGAGCGGGCAGCAACCACTTGCGCATGTGAGGGGTATTCAGAAGGATGGGAAGGTCCAACATCAGACCACGCCGCGTAAAACTTTCGTCACGGCAGTGTGCGTGCCTGCTGTGTTCCCTTCTTATAGTTTCCGACCATATTGTGGTGTTGGTTTCTCGTTTTGAGGAGACAGCGCCCCGCGTTATCATTCCTCTCCTCCTCCTCCTCCCGCTGGCCCTTCCCTTCTCCTCTCATTATCATCATCATCGTCATCATCAGCATCATGGCCGTCATCGTCATCATCCTCATCATGGCCATCAGCATTACCATCATGGCCATCAACGCCATCATCGTCGTCGTCTTCGTCACACCCCTCACACGCTTCGTGGCCCCATTGGGAGCTCCACCCAATGTCCCAGTGGCATGGTGCGCATGGCGGCGCCCCCCCCATTTTCTGTTGACCTGTTCCGCGAGGGTGCGGCCGAGGTCTGTGGCGATCTGCTCCGCCTTCCATCTGAATGCGGCTGAGGTCTCTGGTGAACTGCTCCGCGAGCATGCGACTGAGGTCTGTGGCGACCTGCCCCGCCTGCCATCTCATCTGACCGCGGCGGAGGTCTCTGGCGACCTGCTCCGAGAGAATGCGGTTGAGGCCTGTTGCGGCCTGCTCCACTGTGATAGCTGCTCTCTCAGCGACTCGTCCCATTTCGGTGCCGAGACGCACTCTCGAAGCGAGCGCCCTGATCTATCCCCTGCTCAGCGCTTCCTTGCCCTTCGTCACGAGCCGATCAACCGTGCCACAGTTCGGGCAGGCAGCTGGGTGCCATCAATCGATTACCATCGTGGGGCTGACCACTTCACGAGGTGGGTGGACTGGCGCGTCGACTGCGTCTTCGGGCCGCTGTTCAATTCCCCCTTTGCTGACCAATTCCCCCGCATCATTGATCACAGGGATGGCTGCCAAGAGCGTCTTCGTCGTCGCGAGGCTGAAGAAATCAGCATGGCAGGTCGGCCTGGGGGCGCGGTCTTCTTGAGCGCCTCCGTCAGAAGCTCTTGCGTGCACTGCGCACCCCCCGATGAGACCTTCCGCATGATGATGAATTGTCCTAGCAACGCTACGATATGCCCACCTGGCACCCTGATCCGCCCCGCATGCCGATGGACCTTCGCGCCCGCGTTCTATATTGGATTGCGCGTGGCGGCCCTGAGCGGCGTGGCCGCGACGTGAATCTCATTCCAACGCCGAGGTCGCACATCGCAGACCTCATTGCTGCCCGTGGCTTTTCGGTTGACGACCTCGACCTGGGCCCGATGGAACCAACGTTCAAAGATGCGCCGAGTTCCTTAGAGGAAGACTACTCTCCCAACGAGACCGAGATGAACCCACAGCACGGCCTTGGCGCGGATTCTTACACGCCCCCCACATATGTTGATTTGGAACTTGTGGATGAGATCCAAGCGGGGCTCTCGCAGTCACCGCCTGCACCAGCCATCAACGAGGACGACGCGATGTCTGATGGCGATGTCGAATACATTTTTGCCCCTCGCCCACAGCCGCCTGCGGCGTGGCAGGCGCGCCCTCCAGCCTCCTCAGGTGCGACGCCGCCCTGGCTTGCAGCGAGCTCGTCAGGCCCACCACCGCCAGGAGCTGATGCGGACGTTCTAGATGGACAGGTTCGTCTTCCTCGTCGGCGCCTGCTTTGGCCCCTGCTGCCGCGCCCGTTGCCTCGTCTCCGACCCGATCCAAATGAGCCCGGGCTGCATGGCCGCATCGATGAAACGGGGGGCAGCGATCTGCAGGCCGAGTCAATGGATGTCGGGGGTACCGCAGCGCCGCCTGATATGGCCATGCCGCCGCTCCGCGCGACGTTCGCGGCTGCTTCTCTGCCGACAGAGCCTCCGTCGGCTGGTCATTATGACGGCATGGCGGCGCTCCTCCTCCTGCCGATGACCACGGTTCCCCCGGGGCATCAGCGCGCGCGCGCGTGCCTCCTGTTCCTCAGCACCGCGCTGTCCACGATGGGCGCGGGCCTCTTGTTCTCCGGCCGCCTGCAGAAGATGCTCACTGTGAATTGGGCCCCCTGGCTGCCGGCGCTGGGCCTAGGGGTGCGCGCGCAGCCTTTGGCTTCGAGGCGACGGGGCTCCAACCGCCCACTACGCTTGCTCTGCAACTTGCGCTTGAGGCTCTCGCTCAAGGCATCGCCCCGCGCCCCTCTTCGGCCGCGGCGGCGTCCGCGGCTCCTTCGTCTGCGAGTTCGCCACCAGCGGCGCAGCCCGTCGAACCTGCCCATCCTGGTGCGATTTCCATCCCACAGCTTGCGAATGCTTCTCGTGCCCTGAACGACCTGCGCCCCGAGATCTCTGCGGACGCGAGAGAACTGGTTCCTTGGATGCTGGAAAATCCCGGCTGCCTTCTGGAAGCAGACGAAGAGCGTCCACGCGATGATGAGTTGGCTTTTCTCCCTGATCCTGGCGCGCTGGAGCTTCTTGACGATGCGCCTGAATTTCTCAAGCTTTGCGCCGACGAGGGCGCCGCGGCCATCGACTCGGAGGATGACGGGTCTGCGGCCGTTGGTGGCCATCCCCTCGAGCGTGTGCTTTGGCGCTGAGGACCCCTGCGACGTCGGCCCCAACTTCGAGGGCCTGGCGTTCGACGTCGACGCGCCCCCCGCTGGGGCTCACATGGATGATGCCGATGATTCTGCCTTCGTCGCCATCGCGGGCTATGAGGGCGCCGCCCCCGACTGCGCGCCCTTCGACCCCGCGCCGCAGGATGCGTTCGGCGACGCGCCCGCGGGCCGCGTCGCCTCCTCCGACGCCGACGGCGTCGCATCACCCGCCGCTGGCCGCCGCTGCCCCAGAGGGCGCGCGGATGGGGGGGGGGGGGGGGGGGGGGGGGGGGGGGGGGGGGGGGGGGGGGGGGGGGGGGGGGGGGGGGGGGGGGGGGGGGGGGGGGGGGGGGGGGGGGGGGGGGGGGGGGGGGGGGGGGGGGGGGGGGGGCCGAGCGCG